AAAAAAAAAAAAAAAAAGAAATAGAGAAGAAGAAAGAAGGTGAAGGAAGGGGGAGTAGACGGCGAGGGTGACGAAGGTGAAGGTGCCGGCAGCCATAGCCGAGATGAGGAGTTGACCGGCCGTTGACCAGAGCGTTGACCAGAAGGTTGACCGAGGGTTGACCAGGCGTTGACCGAGGGTGTTGACCAAGCGTTGACTGGGGGTTGCTCGCGTTGACTCGGCGTTGACCAAGGCGTTGGCCGGAGTTGCTGCTGACCAAGATTTTGACCAAGCTGGAGTTGGTGATACCTCGTTGACCCCTCAGCCTATTCCCTTACCCTGTGGATGTGCACACCCTACGGTACTTGCTGAGTTGAGTCTGTCTGTCTTCCTTTCTGCATTGAGTCTCTTCTGTCCTAGGTGTTAGGACTCTGTGGATGAAGGATAGGGCCTTGCTGCCAAACCTGCACGGGACTTAGTAGGACCAAAGCTCTACTCTGGCGCTTGGAGACCTGAGCATGAGCGGCGAGCGCTCGTTAAACAACTCGTCTAGCCCAATGACCGGTACTGTCCGGCAGGTCTACTGAGTTCAGTGTAGAGGGTTTGAACTCCGAGATGTGGGCTGAAACGAGGGTCGTCTTTAAGTATTGAGGCCTGATTGAGCCACTCCCCTACCAGACCTAGTAAGGCTGATGATCTGTGTCTGACGACTCGACTGTCCCGAGGGATACGAACCCCTCCAAGGACCGGTACAGACCGGCGGGCTGCTCGGTGTGGCACAGTAGGCCGGAACGGCTGAGTTGTGGGCTGAAATCGCCAGGAAGGACCAAGCTGATCACGTCGTCCTGTCTGCGACGTTAAAGAATTCTTGAGGAGTTACGGGGGATCTCCTTAAATGCCTCCAGATCAGCTGCTGGTTCTGTAGTGACAGCCTGAGAGTAGTCTTGGGTTAGTGACCATAGTTGACAGGGTCTTACCCTGTGGTCCTTAGAGAGTCAGTCAGTAGGTCAGTGTGTCCGGGTAGGACTACGTGGTGAGGAGTGGGACCCCTGTCGTGCACCAACACCACGATGGATGACTATCTGATGTATGGGCTACTTGTTGGGTTCTCCCTCTGGGGGACCCTCTAGCGTCTCCTCTTTCCGCTGGGCTTCTGGCCCACCTTTGCGTGTAGAGTAGGGCCCACTCGTGGTGGTACTTCCACCCAGCCACACACGAAGGAGGAGGAGGAGAAGATGGCCGCCATCCTGCAGGAGARAAAGGAGAAGAAGGAGGCCAAGAAGAAGGCCTTGAAAGAGGAACAGGCGGCCAAATTGAAGAAGATGGAGGAAGAGATGGCCAGGGAGAAAGAGAGGCTGAAAAAGGAAGAAGAAGAGAAGCTGAAGGAGGTGGATGAAGAAGAGGAAGGTCCACCACTACAAAAGAGTAGTGGGCAGCATAGTGGCAGCAATGGCGGGGACCTGGAGAAAAGGATATCCGAATGGGTTGCCAACTTGTCTGTGGGAGAAGAAGAAGAAGTGGCAATGTACATACCCCAAGATGATCAGGAAGCCGCTATGAAAGCTTGGGAAGCAGAAAAAGATGTCGTGAAGCGGCAGGCGATGGAAGATGAAAAGAGGATGGAATGGAGATTGGCAGTGATGAGGGAGAAGAAAAGGAGAGTGGACGCGGCGGCGGAGGCGGCAGAAGAATTAGAGGAAGTAAAAAGGATAGAGGAGCAACTAGCCGCCCAGACTCAACTCCCAGCCCAAATGCGAGTCATAGCTCGAAATGTTGCACGCCTAGCATGAATTCAGGCGGAGCAATATGACTTCAGTAGGAGTCAGCACATAACTGTGCATTCAATAAAGTTGGGGTTTCGAGAATTTGCGCGCGAGCTGGTAGGCGCTGTAGGAACCGAGGTGGCCCACCGCCTTGACAAGACCGAGCGGTCCTGTCCTGGCGCCATTGAGGGCGTCAAGGCGGCAGCCCCCAAGGAGGAGGAAGCACGTCCTCCTCGCCGGGAACCAGTCAAGATCAAATTCCCTGATTCCTACAGTGGGAAAAGGGAAGAGAACTTTGACAATTGGGAAGCTAACGTTAAGACCTATGTGCACTTGCAACAGGTCTCCTCGGATCAGCAGGTTCTGATTGCGATCCACGCGCTGAGAGATGAGGCCGCCAGTTTTGCAAGGTCCCTAGTTCGCGCTGCCAACTGTAGTGATGATCCCGTTGCGTACTCCTCGTTCACGTCCCTTATCGAATTCCTGAAATTGCTGCGCGAGCGATTTGCAGACGTCGCTCGCAGTGTTAAGGCCTCAGACAAGCTCCAAACCATCCATTCTCGTAAATGGAAGAGCGCTAGGGCACTCAAGGGTACAATGGATGAGTTGGTGGCCGTCCCTGACCACGGGGTCACAGAGGGCCAATTAGTCAACCTCTTTTACCGGGCTATGCCCGAAGCCTTTCGAGGGCAGTTCTTCGCAAAGAGCGAAGATCCTCCCACCACTTACGATTCCCTTAGTCGTGAAGTGGTGGCTTTTGAAGCGAAGTCCGTGTCCCTGTCTACCTTCTGGCACAAGGACTTGGACAGGGGAAAGCAATGGAAAGGCCGCACTATCTCAGGGCAGGTAAAGACTAAGGACTGCCTTGTCCTGACTTTAGATGAAGGTAGTGTGGATGAGATCCCCTACGATCAGATTGACTGGGGGCTAGAGGAGGAGGACAGCGGTGTGGGCCAGGGGAGATCCTACGCTGCTGTCGTGGCTGGAGGGAGGCCGCAAGGAGGAAGAGGCCAGGGCCAAGGGGGTCGGGCCTCAGGGAACCGGTTCCAGGGCGATCAGGGGGTTGGCGGCAGAGGAGGAAACCGCCAAGCGGAAGGCAGGGGTCAAGGTCCCTCGCAAAACCGTCCTAGGAATAGGTCTCCCTATAGAGTAGGAGGATGGCACCCAGGGCTACTTCAGGGTAGGCCTTGGGAATCTTTGGGTCTAGACCAGGACTTATGGCAAAAACGATTGGACCAGGGTCAGTGCATTTTTTGCGGTGACCCGGGCCATATCATCAAATATTGTCCCAAGTATAGAGAGACCCGAACGGCTGCCCAAGGGCCAAAAGGCAGTCGTCGGTAGGGGTAGCAACTGCCCCTACCACTAGGCCATGTGGGGAAAATAGCGCTAGCCGGCAGGAGACTCCCACACCACATGTGCCTACGGCAGAGGTTGCAGGCCGGTGTCTAGACAGCTGTCCCGAAACTGCTTGTGTTAGAGTTTCGCTAGACACCTCCCTCACAGTCGTGGCCGAAGAGTTGAAGGAGAGGATGCCCGCCTGGGCCAAGATGAAGAAGGAGAATAAAGGGCAGCTTATATTGCTAGATATAGAGATTTTTAGAAGTAGAGTAGGGGCCCTGGTAGACTCAGGGGCCACTCGCAGCTATATTAGTAGGAAAGCGCTGCAGAAGTTGAGGCTGGGACTTAAAAGTCCAGAAACTTACAGACCCCATAGTTAGTATCCTCGCGGACAATCGCACTTTGGTTGTAGAGGATTACGTAGAGGGAGTCCAGGCGTATTTCCGCCAAGAGAAAGATGGGAAAGTGGAAAAGATTCTCTACTCCCTGACTCTCCTCGTAGAAGACAGCCTCCCCTTTGATATTGTGTTGGGAATGGATTGGGGAGAGGCAGTCGGGGCAACGCTCCATCTGAAGGAGCATGAGTGTAGGCTCCCTAGTTCTGCAGGCGAGGCTAAGACTGCCTGCCTGTTCCATGTGTCATGAGTAGAGAATTCCTTGGCGCATTGCTGCCTTAGTGCCCCCGCATTCGCCAAATTGGTGAAGAAGGAGAAACTAGAGGAACAAGTCTTTGTTGCCTATGTTAGGCCAATCACTGAGCCTACGGAGGAGAAGCCGATGGACCCTACGATTGCCAGGCTGCTGGAAGAGTTCAAGGATCTAACCGAGCCGCCGATAGGAGTAGTACCACGGCCCATCCAGCACCGCATTGAGATAGAGCGTGGCAGTAGAACTCCTAAGGGCACCCTGTACAGGATGTCCCCACGGAGTTAGAGGAACTTCGCAAGCAGTTAGACGAGCTCCTCGAGAAGGGTTGGATTAGGCCCAGTTCGTCTCCTTTCGGAGCACTTGTCCTCTTTGTTCCTAAGAGTGAGGGAGAGCTGAGAATGTGCATAGACTATAGGGGTCTGAATGAGATTACAGTGAAGAATGTTGAGCCACTGCCAAGGATAGACGATCTTTCAGATGGAGTGCAGGGGGCCAAGTATTTCTCCAAGATAGATTTAAGGTCCGGATATCATCAAATAGAGGTACATCCTGATGATCAGTATAAAACGGCCTTCCGGACCAGGTATGGGCATTA